TCATAAAGGTTAAAGTTAGAAGGGGTTGTGATGGGTTTATTTATCAAAAAGATAGTTTAAAAAATTATTTTAATAGGTAACTTAACCATTAAGCAATGAAAAATTTAGAAATTTTTACTAAAAGTATAATGATATTTTGGAAGTTAGTGTCCTAAAATTTTATTTGTAGAATACCCTTGTCTTTTAGTAAAAATCTATGAAGAAAACAAAAGTAGCTCTTGTCTAATATGTACAAAATTGTCCTTACTTAATAATGAAAATATCACAAAAAGTAATTTTTTTTAAAAAATAGAATATACTGGAATTTTATTTGTAGAATGCCCTTGTTTTTTAGTAAACTTTGCCCTTTATAAAGAAAACAAAAAATATTACACAAAATAATTTTTTTTAAAAAATAGACTATAATCTTCACCACTCTCTCTATCTTTAACCTTTGTAATTTTAAAGGTTGTGAAGTTTAGATTATCCCTTTATTATATTATATATAATATATACATATCTTATATTATATTAAAATTTTGATTTCCTAAATTCTCTCATTGGCTCTCTTGCACATACTCTCTCTCTCTCTCCTCAAAATCTCTCATTATATATCTCTTTCTCTTGTGCATATTCTCTCAAATAAATCCTACTAAAATGTTGATTTCCTAAAATCTTGTATTAGGAGATTATCTTTTATATTCTTCCTAAAATAGTTACTCTTCATGAATAAAATATTAGGAAAGGGTAGATATCATTTTTTTCTCTACTTTTCACTCACAAATTTTAGGAAATGGTTGGATAAAAAAATTGTCCTAGATATGGAAACAATCTCTCTTCCTAAAATCTCTATTCTCTCCCTCCTTAAAATCTCTACTCTACATGAACAAAATTTTAGTCTCTCTTCCCCTAAATATGTGTATATATCCTACAACTTGTATAACATTAGAGTTCCTTCTTATTTTCATGACATGTGTAAACCTCTTACCTCTTGTTTAATAATTTATTCTCTCTGTTCTCCTAAATATAACGTATATGTCCTATAGCCTCTATAACATTAGGGTCTTTTTTAATTTTCGCGACACGTATCTACTCTTTAACTCAACTTTTGCTTAATTATGCAGTATAGATAGTATAAATATAAATATATATAATATAAAAGATATTTTTTAATTAGTTAACTTTTAAAATAAATTATAGCTATTTTTTTTAACTATTTATGACCAAACAAATATAATTTTCAACTAAAAATGCACTTATTTGTAAAACTGCTTATAAGTTTGTCTAAAAATTTTTTATGATGAAAACTGACAATGAACAAATAATTTATTATCATAATGTTATTGAAATTGCGAATTATCAATGACAACAATTACAATCAAATAGGCCTACTTCTCGATAACATGCTTGCAAGTAAATCTCCATCCGGTGCTAATGGAGGGCAAAATTTCTGAACGCAAGGATAGAGACTAAAGAAAGGCACTGTTTCACTATTCGTAATCTTTCATAAATATTATTCAAATTACGTGTGCTTGAGCCGGTGATTATAAATATCTCTTCATAATTCCAAGGGTCCCGGCCTTCGAAGGTTTCAGTAAAACTTTTCTTCCAAGAAAAGCACAACTAAAGCCCGGTCGTTCTCCCGGTCTCAGGAGAATCACACCTCTTTCTCTCTTTACACTAATCCACAATCCACCATGGTTCTCGAAGTGGGTTCTCTGGTTTTTCATTCCTCTCCTCTTCTCTTCAGTTGATTTTATGTTGACATGTTCGTTTCAAATAAAGGGTTTAAACCAGATCGATCTACCCTGCCATTATTTATTTTTGTTCCTTTTCTGCGATTTTCAGGCTACGATGATTTGCATTGACAACTCGGAGTGGATGAGAAACGGGGATTACTCCCCCACGAGATTGCAGGCCCAATCAGAAGCTGTAAATCTTATTTGTGGAGCCAAAACACAGGTTTTTCTTCTTTTTATCTATTATCTATGACGCTGGTTTCCCTATGATTTGTATTCGGTGTTTGAGCGGTAATGTTTAGCGTTGGTGATGCCCATAGCTTAGGGTTTTGATCGTGCAAGATTTTCCCCTTTTGTTGTTCTCAGATCTCCCTGTTCCTGAAACAATGGGGTTTCTTAATTTTTATTTAGTTGGTTAGTTTTATGAATGGATGGATTGCCAAGTTGAGGATATGCTATGAGTATTGTTGTTTGATGTTTGGTACTCTTTTACCCAAAAAAAAGATACTATTTTTCTAATAATTAGTCTTCGGTGCTTAAAATTTTATGTCGAATGTTGCTGATGTCCCAAAAATTAGTGTCCTTATCGTTTAAAGTTTTATTATGTTATGGTGCTCATATAGTTGTGTTCCTGAAATTGTGGGGTTTTGTCTGTTTGTTGAGATGCTTGTTCCTTTGAATGGTTAGATTCAGAGTTGATGATGTGCCACGGTTATATGTTCTTTTTTATCTTTGTTTTTTGGCTAAGCGATTTGGGAATTTGGATTTTTTGCAGTCCAATCCAGAGAATACGGTGGGGCTGCTGACGATGGCTGGGAAAGGGGTGCGTGTCCTTGTAACCCCTACAAGTGATCTTGGAAAGATTCTGGCGTGCATGCATGGTAAGTGTGTTATTGATCTATGTGTTTTTATTTTTATTTCGCTGAGAAACACTTGTTGATTCTTCCATAATTTGATTCTTTGGTTCGTGGTATTTAGCTCATGTCCCTCTCATAGGTCTTATCTTTAGGGTGCCTGCTAGTTGGGTACCAGAAAGGTTATTGTACTGCATGTTTACATAGATTATTGTACTGCATGTTTACATTTTCTGTTTCTATAAGTATGATATTATCATACTTCCCATTTAAATGGGACTACAATTATAAGTTCTAGTAACATGGAGCTTATCAAAAAAATAAAAATAAAAATATAAGTTCTAGTAACATTGAGTAGACGAGTGGTGGAAGTCATTTGTCTATTTCATTTGGGGCTTTCTCGAAGTAGTGGAGCTCAATGGGATTGGTCCTCACAAACAAGATAATGGTGTGGATTTCTTTCTAGGAAGGTCATTTGTTTTGGCTTTGTATTTTCTTGGGTGTTTTTGAAGCTGAATTGCTTCTTTGGGGACTAAATTTACTGGATCCAAATTATGCATACCTAACATGTATGTTTCTTTTACCTGCTTTATTGAAGTCTTGAAGAGGTTAAAAGCTTTGTCCTTGGATCAAAGCTCACATTCGTCTAGCCCATAATCTCTCTAGATTGTTAATGTCCCCTGCTCTTTTGATGCTTTTTTAGGGCCAAAAAATTGTCCTTAGACCCCCTCAATGCTAAAAATGAAAAAAAAGAAAGAAAGAGGGAAAACTAAGCTGGGTAGGGGTGATCTTCAAGTGGTGAAACCCTCTCCTTTAAGCTATTCGATCAATGAAATGGATCACTCTGGTGAGTAGTCAGGACATTTGTTGGTGGTTTTGGTCTTATGATGATAAAGTCAGTAGTCTATGCTGTCATCACTTGTGAATCTGCTTCTGATACTTCCTATCCTATTTATAATATTTCTTACCATCAATAATGTTTATTTTAGCTTAAAATTGAATACTTTAAATGTTAGACAATGGATGTGAACAGTCTCTTTTTTTTTAGGATGACAATGGATGTGAACAGTTACAATATCTATTTGATATTTTGAATTGATTAAATTGATCATGAGGTTGTTTATAATTCTTGTTATTTTAAAGTATTTCTTAAATCATTTAAATATTATTGTTATTTTCCCAGTACTTTCAGCTTGTTTGGTTATTTATGAAACACTGTTTTCTCTCTTGAAGTGCCAAATTCTTTTTCTTCTTACATCCCAAGCCAAGCAGTGTCCTATGTGAAATTGGTAAAATTAGCATATGAGTCTTTGGTCTGAAGTGGAAATTAATTGATTTCATGACCCATCAACTTCTTTAGTGGCATGACCAAATTTGGTCAAAGTTCCTACAGTGGTCCACACAGTGCTTTTCAGAGCCCGCACACAATCTGCCAATGCAGTCTGCCATCTTAAGTGTGAAGAACCGCCAACTATACCTTTTATTGTATATGTTAGTGCAAGGAATTTATTCATAACCTCTACTTGATGAAGATGTGATGCTTAATTTGGTGAGGATATGTCTCTCTATAGCCATTTTGGCAATCGGGAGCTGGAGTGAATGTTCCTTTGTAGTTTAACCCGTACTTCTTAACAGTAGGAACTTTCAAATATGTTGGATGAACAGTCATTGCATGCTGAATGATTCTGTCTGTGATGCATCTTTGTTAAATTAAATGCTACTTGCTTATCTTTTAAAGATCATCATTGTCATCATCGTCATAGCCTTACCCCAACTAATTGGGGTCGGCTACATCAATCTTGGACTTCCATTCTGCTCTATTAAACATAATTTCTTAATTTTCTCATCTTTTATGACTCTCAACTCAATATTCCATATTTGAAGTGGCCCATTCCTTGGACTCAGAATGGACTGCTAGGTGGTTCACATGCTAAACATTGTCTCTCAATGGCAAATTCCACCCATAATGGAGATCTATGGGCTGTCATTTTTCTTGTCACATGTTTTTCTTCCACTCAGTTATTATGAACTTACAGGTTGTAGCGTCTATATGATCAGTTTGTAGTGTGATTGAATCATTGAAATTATGAAATTTGCAAAGCATTATTATGGTGAAAAATACGTCTAAGACTTGTTTGAGTGCATGTAATAACATAATAACAGATGCTTTTTATAGCCTATTGCTAGAACGTACAGAAGGCATAATATTTTATATGAGAAAGTTATGTAGGTACTTTTTTATCACTTGCTGTAATTTTATTTCTTTTTACTTGTTATGACTTACATGTTTTTAAATTCACTTTTTGACTAACTTAAAATAGAAATTGGTTTTTTAACTATAAATTGTCATGTATACTATAGCTTTGTTAGTTTCACTTGGGAACTCGAAATATTGGTTGGCTCTAAAGCGAGGAAGAGTGAATAAGTGGGAAATAAATTGGTTAAAGTGTTTTAATAAAACCTCTTTGTTTTTGGCCAAGTTGATCTATTAGAATGGGCTGAACCGTGCAACAAATCCAATTGGCTGGCTTTGTTGTTCAGTTTGGTTAAATTGGCTTTCATGGAAAATAGTCGTGACTGTGTTGGATTTGGTTGGCACCATTAATTCAAGTAAGATCTTCATTAAAAAAAAAGATCATCTGTTTAGTTTTGGGCATAGGTGCTAGAACCATAGCGTTGGTTGGTAGGATTTATTTGGACAAGAATTAAGGTAGATACTATTTTGAATGTAGTGCTTGTTTATATGGGTTTGTAACTTTGTGGTGCCCTAAGATAGGTCCCATACTTTTTTGGAATCATTGTGGGGTTTCCTCCTCGCCATCTAGATAAACATGAAGGTGGTAAGTTTTACTCGGTACATGATTTATTGTTTGCTATCCATCAAAACAAGATCTATTATGCAGCACATCAAGCAACTCATGGGATGGATAAACTTTGGGAATTGATCCATTGTCATATTTATCCCTACTCCCATTGGGGCTAGGAAGTAAGCCCCACAACCCAAAGCGGGGAAAAACAAATAGAATTTGCTACGAAAGCCGGCTAACGGGGGGATTCTTGCTTATGATAACATAGTTATGGAGAAGGTAATAGCCAAAATAGGATTCATTTTGGCTAGAGCGCTCAAATCCGCTATATATTTGACATGGGTTTGCCGTAATGCTGGAACTATGTCGAATGCATCTATCGTCATTGATGCATAAATAAAGATACCAATTAGTAGTGATTGAATTCCTTTTATGGTTCCACATGAGAAACCAGTACGAATATAACTTACATGTCCAATCGAACTATGAGCTAGAGGTGTTTGACTTTCGTTTGGGCCATGGTGGCCAGTGCTCCTAAGATCATAAAAGCGATGCTGCAGAAAAAGAAGATTTGTTGCAATGTAGCTCCATAGGAACCATAAATAGAAACACGTGACATATTTGCCGAAATAGAGATTTTAGGCGCAATAGAAAGGAATGCTGTAATCGGGGTGGGTGAACCCTCATAGATATCAGGTTCCCGCATATATAGAGTCAAAAGAGATATGGAGTCCGAAGGGGAGGGGGGTTTTCTTCAGGGCTCGAGAGATGGAATAGATAGGGCCCCACGAGTTGTTAATTCGCCGTTGGGGAATGAACATGAAAGGGAACGAGGAATTATCAACGAAACGAAAAAGTGCTCTCTGAACCGAACGTGGAAGTTTTTTTCCATTAGACAGCTGTTCTCGTAACTCCACTCTCGACTCGGATTTTATATCCAAAAGGTCTGCTCTCGGCCATTCCACACGCTGCCTATCAGAGGCGTGGTTCTCTCTAGTGGATTCTTTTTTTTTGTAGTAGATGTCGAACCTGCTGCTCAGTGGGCAGGCGCAACAGCTACATGGCTCCTTCCTTTCTGTTGTAGCCAACGCTTTCTCGGGCAGGCAAAGGCCGAAGGCTGCTATCCCAATAGGCCAGCGGGCAGAACGAGGAGAGGGCCCGGCAATCATACCACCGGGGTCGAAAAAGCGTGTTATCTTCTCTCTTCAGATAACACGCACCCTCGGCCATCCTCGACCTTCTTCGTTTTCGATGAAAAACTTATCTCGATATCCGAAAGCTTTTTCCTTCCCCCGCCGCATCTCCCTACCTTCGTCGAGCCTTTCCTTTAGTGGTTGGGGGAAGCATTCCCTTATCTGAACCTGGCGGGCATTCTTTCGCTATGGGGTGTGTTTGGTTTGAACATAGCATTGAATAAAGCAAGCCTCTGGGAAGCAACATGGATGACAAAAAGAGGGCGCTTCCCTGTGTAGCACTGAATAAAAGGAGGACCAAGGAGCAAATCCCCAAGCGAGAAGAGTTATAGCATCAAATCACTCGGGGCTTTGCTCCTTGCCCGTGTAGCTTAACGACTGAACTCGTTCTTGCCATCCTATTTGGGCTCGTTGTGCTAACGACAAAACGGGGCTTCACAACAGCAAAAAGCCCAGCCAATAAGTAGACCTTGCTTGCCACTACTTCGTTCGCTAGGTACCAACGAGCAAAGCCAGTGGTAGTGTAGCCTAGCAGAGCAAGCCAGTGGTAGCAATGTCAAAGCCCTCTTCAACTTGGGCTTTGACAAGACTTGGCTACCACTGGCTTTGCTCGTTGGTAACCTTTTTTTAGGCGTTCCGCTACCTTTGGACTTACATCCATAAACCCGAAAACGGGGTTTGTTCCCTTTCGTCAAGTAGGTAGGCATACGAACCACTTTCGCTTTGCCTCATACTCTATTGGAACAAAGAAGAGGCTGAATGGAGAAAGGGACAAAGGCGGTCTTGCTCGACGCGAAGGTTGCTGGTTCAGGGGTAGGGTACGGTACTAAAGGTCCTCGGACTTTCAGGCGGTTTTTTTGGCAGCTGTTCACCGTTGGATCTCGCCAATACAGCCCCCCTATGGTTTTCATTAACGAGATATCCTCTTTTTTTTTTCATTGTTCCTAGGGATTTCTTGGGTAATCAGCTCCCATGCTGCAAACAGACAGTCAAATCTTAACCTTGTCGCTCTTCTTTCCTTGTGGGCAGGATGCACACCAACAACGTGCGTTGCGTGATTCCACTGTGTTTGCACTTGACTGGGTGGACAGTTGATCGGAAGAGAACTTCGATTCGCCCGGCCAGCAGGCGGGCGGCGTGCTTATCTTGTGTTACAACACTACAGAGCGAGCGGCTCTTTTAGGCAAGCGGCTGTGTGACAACACTCCAAAGAAAGTGGCGCTTTCGTGTAACATGCTATGGTCTCAACGCCCTTACAAGGTAGTGATGAGTTTCACACGCTCTAAGCCCGGCCACACGTGGTTAACAAGATTGGCCGCAATCTGAGCGGGACCACCCACCCTACTTTACCACCTATAGGCGGCCATCTGTCTTACAGCCGCCTGAAAAGGAACTGCAGTGATCTTGAATAGGGATCCTACAACGATAGATAGAATCCCCATAAAAATACCATTAGATCGAGCACTGGTGATTTCGTATTCGGTCAAAATCTTGGCTAATTGATCGAAATGGGTAGCTCCAATAGACCCATAGATCATGGAACAAATAGGGTAGGTCCAACCACCACACTACACGTCTAGACGCGAACCCCCCTTGTAACTGAACGTGCGACTCTCACCGCATACGGCTCGCACAAAAACACCTAAATCCATTCCGAGCCCTTTATTCCACCTCTCCTCTCCAATCCTCGAGAAAACGGGGGCGATGTGCTATGAAATGGGGCTTCCTTTGCTTATTGTATCGGCTTGGCTTCGTCCTAGGAGCGATTTGCCGCTTCTGCCTCTCTAGGCTTTGCTATTGCTCCCCCCTATATAAGAGTATGGTCGGCCGTCCCCCCTGCCCCTCCTAAATTTCCCGCCCCCCTACTTTTTCCATTTTCCGTCCCGCCCTGGCGAATCCCACTTGATTGGCGTTGTCGATCAAAGAACGAAAGCTATAGCCCTATTCTATAGTGCGACTGCCGATCGTGCGACCGAGTGGGATTTCTTAATCCATCCAATTATGGCTAATCCCAATACTCTGTTGTAGAGTCCGGATCCAGGGGACATTATGCTCTCATGCGTGGGGCGCTTCCTCGCGATATCTAGGATAGGAAGCTACCTATTAACAATACGTAAATCTGATGGAATGCTTATTCTGGCTGGAGCGTATTGATGGAGATCTATTTTTATTTGAAA